AGAGAAAAGAGAGAAAAGAGAGAAAAGAGAAGAGAAAGCAAGGGAGATGTAACTGCACACTTTTAAGAGTGCCCAGTAACAGATGACCTAAACAAATGTTGGTTTTGGCAATTCTAGCGGAGAAAGTGCTTACCCAACGGCCCAGTTGTGGTGCAAAAAAAATGCCCAAAGTGACTTAAGCTTGAAAATGAAAGACCCTGAAGAAAAGAGTTCAGGAGAGGGAGAGACACTGCTTGATATCTACTCTGCTGGAGAGGGAAGGAGGTGATACAGTATTGCATAGCCTTGAAAATCACGGATTTATACAATATATAGAAATAGCCACATAAACGCACATACTGCCTCTTTGCATTTCTATAGATTTGAATGGCATTTCCTTGTATGCTCTGAGTAAGACCAAGATGTACAGTTCTAAAGGAATCCTATGTTACCCAAGATCTCAAAGGCTTTGGGACTCCTTCTAAGTTTTAATCATATTCTACTTCTTGGCATGGGACAAGGACAAAAGCTCAGTGATTTCCGCTAATATTCAAAGATGCAGTAGAATAAGCAAAACAGCATTGTGCATATTTGATACAAACATTGTGTTCTTCTTTTTTCCCTTTGTCTACTTTGTCTCTGCTGGAGGTCAGCTACCTAGACTTAGACCCCTTCTGCCTGGTTTGTGCTATAGTCCCAATATCAGAATGGTCTACATATTTGCATACATCTCTTCATGACAATTCAGAGGAAACACAAAGAGAAAGTGAATGAGTTACGAGTTCCCCTGCCTGAAAAGTCGTCTGTGTTTGAGCTGCTAGTCTAACCCTGCAATTTTTGCATTGATATTCCTTTTGGAATGGCAAGAATCCCACTGCATGCAAAGCTGTTATTTTAAAGCCAGGATCTGAGCCTGTGTTCACATCAGTAAATGTTTCACCTGAATGCTGCCAAAGCATTCATGATGTGATGTCAGTTACTGGCACAGTGTGCACAAGGAAATAGTTGGAGGTGAATGAGACTGCCATATCTGGCCTTTAACGCTGGTATGAACAAAGATTTTCAGATTTAGTCCCCTACCTCTTGCACTCAGTTCAGTTTGTACAGCCCGAACTTTTATATATAGCCATAGCATAAATCTTTTTTGCTTTGTAGCTATTGCAATCCTCACGTGGGTACTGAAAGGCAAAGCTAAGTTATTTTATAAGACGCCCTCTTCAGTTATGAATAAAAATAGTCTCACTTTCAAAGAAACCAATGCAATCAAAACAACACCCCCCACCTACAAATATAACATGGTGTTGTACAGGACAAGTATTGATTAAAACAAAAAGGGCTTTTTAAACACCATTAATTCTTACCAATTCTAGTAGTTATTGATTCTGCATCAATGTCATTAGCCTTTTTCTTTGCCACTTCAGCTAGTGCCAATTCACCCTTATCTAGTGCAAGGTAATGGATGTCCTTTGGAAATAAAAGAGAGGAAAAAAAAAGATTAATCTAAAATGAATCTCATAGGAGTAACAAAAGGGATTTTGAAAGAAAGAGGTTCTTTTATTATTTAGATCACAAACACAGATGGAACTGATGAACCTGCCATTACATTTTAATTCCCTCCCAATGCAAATTTATTATCTTACTTGCATTGTTGAATACAGCAATGACTAAAACACTGACCAATCATGCACCGATAAAAGTGAAGCTATTGACTCAGTGTATGAAAGAAACCAATCTGTCTGCTTTTAAAGTAACTTCTGTTGGTGCAACATTAATTAAAAGAGGGTTGATAGGAGATGGCTATGTGTAACCCAGTTCTGAAGTACTGGAAAACTTCTGGCTGACAGCCCCTATTTCAAGTGAGTTAAGGCTTCCACCTAGCACACGAGTTTTGGGACTAATTTTGGTTTGGAGGTTGTCATGTTACACTCACTGTTCTTTGGGTAAGGTGCTGGTGGTCCTCCTTGTGTGATACTGGAGGCAATAAGAGTTAACAATGGTTAATCATGGGTGACATGATTCCTGAGTCACTCTTGGACCATGAGGGGCTTTCCAGACATGTTGTTGTCTAGCATGAAGAGTTGTCAATACTCTGGATTTAGTCCTTAATCTAGGGTTAAAAAATCAGTGAGCTGCAGCAGGGACATATCATCACAAGCTGAATTGAAGGCTTTTTATTGTGTGTTAACCTTTGAGGTGAAAACCACC